CCTCAAACCACATGAAAGCCAGGGTACAAAAAAACAAATCAAATTTTAAAAATAAGTGTATAAACAGGCAACAGATACTGTGCGTTTTGAATGGACAAGCACAAGGCTCTGATGAACAGCTGGGAGATTTCCTAGTGCCACGGTGGACAGAGTGCACTGAAAAGGCAATCCTGGTTCTCTGGTTATTTCCTTAGGGTTTTTTTGACTCCTTTTTCAAGGTCACAGGGCTGCAGCTTTGCAGTCAGTGGGAAACTGCTAGTGAGGGAGAAGACAGGGAAGACAGTTTACCTACTTTTTGATTAGTGATTAAACTTAATGACAGGCATTTTAATGTTTAATTTCATTGTTTTTTTATTTCTTTGTATAAATATGAATGAGTTTAAAGGAGATAACACAACATTTAAGATGGTTTACTGAAATATGAATACTTTCACAAAAAGAAGGGTAGTGCAGGAATACAGGCAACCATGTAACAAACAGCCAGTGTTGCTCAAGTTGGTGAGTTTCTTAAGGAAACTGAGGTACCTAAGTCCATTATCTGAATGTTCTTGATTCTAGTTCTCTAGCAAGACTCCTGCTGCCCAGAAACACTGCTAGGAGAGCTTTGCTGTCCTAAACCACCCTCAGCCTGTGGTTTGTGTGCTGCCTTCTTGAAGCTATGAGCCAGAAGTTTTATTTTTCTAGACTCTCATATTTCATTGCTCAAATATTACAGAGTTGTTGTTAAAACTTGGTTTATTAAAGGTTCACATAATTGAATGGCTTTAAAGTACAGCCACGGCATGAATAATTATATCCTGTGTAATTACAGAAGACAGGAATTTAAGATTAAATAGCCATTTCAAAAAATGTTTAACTATACTATAATTTCCTCTGTAAATTAATAAAATGGAAAGGATTTGGTTTCAGAAACTCCCTGACCTTACAGTATTATCTTGAAGAAGAAGCTCAGAATCTGAAAAAGAAATCAAATTCTTGTTTTCTGAAGCTGATTTTGTCACTGAGTAAATCTAATGGCTGTGCTCCTTCTGTTCCAGAACCATTGTGGCACTGGTGTACAACGTGCTGAAAACCCTGATGGAAATGAACGGCAAGCTTTTTGATGAACTCACGAGCTCGTACAAAGCAGAAAGGCAAAGGTACTGAGCCTTTTTCCAGGTTCCCACTGATGAATATATCCAAGCTGTAATTTTGAATGTTGCTCTGCTTGTTGTGGGTGTGGGGCTTGTAGTGGAGCTGTTTGGTGCTGGGTGTCCTGTGCGTGAGGTGGCACCTGGCAGTGGAAAGGCCTGAGCTCCCCATCCTGCCTGGGCAGGGGCTGTGCTCCCTCCTGGGTGGTGAAATGGGTCTCAGCTGCTGCTGGCGGTGCTGCCTCAGGTATCTGAAGAGAATGGAGCTGGACTCTTCATAGCTCAGCAAAAGCATCGCTTACCCTACTAATCTACTTAGCAACACCGTTGGAGTCAGGGAGGCAGGGCACAGGTGACCCGTGGCCAGCTGAGACCACTGCCCAACCCTCCTTATGGTAGCTGTGTTCTTCCCCCCAACAAAGATTCTCAGTCCCTTAATTTGTGTGCATGTGATAAAAAACCTCCTTAAAACAGAAGCCAGCTGTGCAAAGCCACCCTACAGCAATTGTTTTCATTTGCTGGAGCAAAGGTACAGTTTCACCACACACCATTACTTATTTGTTATGCTCTCTTTTTAATTGAGGAAACTGTAGTTGCCTCTAAAAATAGCTTTGGAGAAAAATTTTAAAGAGGAATTAGTAGATGCAAGTCACAGTTAAGTTATTATGTCTCCAGATTGTGCTTAAAACACATCTGAAATTGATCTTTCACTCTTTTCTTCAGAGAGAAAAAGAAAGAATTGGAACGTGAAGAGTTGTGGAGGAGGTTGGAGGAGTTAAAGCTTAAGAAAGCGATGGCAGAGAAGCAGAACAGCACTCACAACGTGCTCAATGCACACAATACAAGTGCCAAATAAAAGAAATGACCACCTCTACTCGGCAGACATTCTTTTTTTGTACCCTTTTGAAATACATAAAGATTTGCAAAAGAAACCTCATCAATGGAAACAGCCCATTTTTTTCTCTGGCAAATGTAAAGATTTGAGTTTAAATACAGCAGTTAAGTGATGTCATTACCACAACATATTGTAAATTTGTCTAATTACTGATATACTGTCACTTCCAATGTTTCATAGAACTGAATTATCATCCTTAATGAGTGAAATAATTATGGGAGTGGTGAGAATTGACTTGAATTTTTGATTGTGTTGCACATAGGTGGTATAGTTTGCTATGTACACATTTTTCCTTGTTTTTTTTTACGTGCTTTTCACATTGCTGCATACTTTGGTTAAGATGATAGAAAAGGCTTCTAGTTGTGCTGTATTTTCTCAAATAAAACCGAGGTACGTTACCAGTAACTTGAGATATTCAGTGTATGCCCCTTACAGCATTGAAAGGAACTCTGATACAGAGCTGTCCTTGAATTCCTGATTGGATTCAGATTTAGATTGATACAATGCTCACATTAGAAACAAAGCAAGGAAGGGAGAGAATCAGCTGCAACAGGTTGGGGTGGCCAGTGCCTCTGCCCCATTCCTGCTGCCTCTTGGGTCCTGGGCTAGTTAAGGATTTCCTCCTGCTACAGCTGAGGATGGAGCTTCCTCTGGAGAGCCCATCAATGATGCTCCTCATCAGTCCAAGGACCCTCCAGACTGGTGCAGTCTCCAAGAAAGACCCATCTTGGATGTTTCTGCGTTAGTTTTAGCATCTCACGGACTGAAGAATGAGACCAAAATTGGCATTAGTATATTTTTTTTTCAGTAAGGAGGAAAGAATGTCAAGAAATTATTCCTTGTTTTCTTTAAAGAAAATGCAGTCTGTTTCTTAAAGGTGGAAAGTTGACAATAGAAGTCTTGTCTGTTTACTTGATCAAGTATTTTTTCACATCTTTTATCAGAGTACCATTCCAATCTCTTAAATTGCAGTTGTGTGGAAAAATTTTGTAATGAAAGATCTTTGGGGAATTGAGCAGCATTCAATAAAGTCTTTATGTTTGTATTTAGTGCTGTACCTCACATCTTTGTGTTTCTGAAGACCAGGAGAATTAGAATGGCTGTTGAAAACAACCTTTTTAACTGTCCAATGTGGCTTTTCACTGAGTGGTAAAAGTGGGGAAGTCCCTACTACACTGAGTCAACTGTATTACACTTACTTGTCTCTAAATCATTGTTTCACAGAGGGTATGGGACTAGTATGGGACACTGCCTGCAGGGAGAGGACAGTCACACAGGCACAGCTCACCTCGGTTTAGTTCTTTAGTGCCTTTTTGCCCTTAGAAAAGTAAAGATCCCAGTGTGTGACAAACTTTGTTCAGCTGTCCTAGAGCCTAAATGAAAATAATTTACACAAATGTTGGGGAACCAAACACCTTGCAGGCGTTCTAGGAATAAATCACTGGCATTTTGAATTGTTACAAGTTTTTTCCTAGAATTGTAATTACAAATTAGTTACAAATAAGGACATTAGGCTTAAGTAATAGAAAAAACAACAGGAGCCATAAGATACCCTTTCAAATTGTGCAACACTTGCTGTCAGGACCGCTCCTATAAATAGGCCTGCAAAAGAAAGGCTTCTTGGCTGGGATCACTGGCCTGCTCTTGTAACATTTCCTTATAAAACAAAACATCTTGACAGCTGAGATGTAGTGACTGAAGTGGACTGCTGTTTGAGTTTATTGGGAGGAAAAAGATAGTGCATACTGCAAAAAGGAGTTTATCCTTTAACTATGCTTTCTACTCACCCTACAGCTGCAGCTATGTTGTCTTCCAACTTAGCTTCTCTGACTTCATTAGCAAAAAAGAAAAAAATGCAGTAGGATCTGTCAGAACTGGTTCAAATTGTTTCTAATTTTCCTTTTTTTTTTTTTTCCCTTGTAAAATCCAAGAAATGCTGCTGTAATATCATGTGTTCAAGGAACAGTTGGGTATTCCTTTAGCAGGCAGCAAGAAAGCTCAGTTGTCATAGCATAGGCTGTTTGATAGCAAAGGCAGTGGGGGAGTTTCTTGATGAGGAAAGGTTGAATGTGGGGGGTTTTATTCATCCCCCAGCCCCTGCCTGGTTTCTATCCTGCTCCCCATCACCCAGGGATGGAGTAGCTCTTCTTGCTTCAACCATGCACTGTTTGGCCTTTGCTGGTCTTGTCCAGTTTAATCTCATTACCTTGCTGAGCTGTTCAGGAGCCATCATTGTGATACTGAAGGTGAGGACTGAACCCCACCTTTCTCCATCTGTTCTCCATACAAACATCTTTGTCCCCTGATTAAACATTTTCCCCCAAACAGCCAGTGCTACTACTTTATCTTATTTTTTGTTGCTCCCCTGTTTAAGGCTGTCTGGTCAGTGCAGTGCCTTAATTTGCTCTGGAAGCCAGCTGAAAGAAATTTTGTCCCAAAAAGCTTCCTCAGATGCCAAAAACAAGGAAGAAAAGTGAGGGGGTACTTTTGATACAGTTACTCCTCCTCTGCTGGAAGAGGAAGGAAGAAGCAAACTATGAGTTGGCATCCTTGCAGCAAAGCCTTCAGAGCAAACACACAGTGGTGCCCTGGTCCCTGTAGACTCCACACAGCCAAGTCAGGCATCTCAACTAACAAGGGACTTATAAGGAAGAAAAAGACACCAGCACCCCAGCAGAGTTGGTGAGCAGGCATTCCCTGTAGAACAGAGGGAAACAGAGTTCCGTGCCCTGCTGATGAAAGACTATTTTTCACTTCCTTAGGAAAGACTGCCAGAAAGAGGCATAAACAACAGCCTGAGACAGACTCTGCTATCAACCACCAGCTCAGCCCCCCAGGTTGTCCTGTTGCTTGAGTTTGCTTTGGGCTGGATTGAGCAGTGGTTTTCACCTCATCCTCATGCCATGACACTCTTTCCTCCTGTAAAGCTCTTCCAAACCTGAGAGCAGGTAGTTTCAAAGAAGGCAGACAACAGATTATTTGAAGTATATTTTAATATTAAAGTCATTGTGTTTTGATTTAAAGATGACATGTAATAGAATTCCAGTGTATTTTGTTTTAAAACATACTTTGGAGAAGAAAGGCCAGGATGTTTCCAGAGTACTTTACCTTCCACTAAGCACCATCAAGGCAGTGACTGTGCTATGGGAGCAGCTCACAGCTGATGCAGAAACTAAAGGGTCTGTTGGAGAAACATTCAAACACTGTCCACTTTTTCACAATTTACAACAGTGATGACTTTCTGAACATTAGTGAGTTCCCTCCTTTCCCGCTGATTCCTCCATATATTGAGGTAAACTTGTTAAAGTTGGACTACAAAAGTGTGAGTTTGTTAGACTTGTCCTAGAGTTAGCTCCTTCTGCTGTTCCAAGGCCAGTTCACTAGGTGGTTTCTCTAGCCAGCATCTCTCTGGAAGAAAACGTACCTGGTTTTCAGCTTTAATTGCTGATTGCAGTTTATTCCAGTTATTTTCTATCCCTCCTGCTATGAACAGTTAAAAGGCAATCTTAGTCTCAGCTTATGTGGTTCGTTACTTGACGAGTCCTCTTCAGATGCCTTCTCCGGATTTTGATCATCCACTTAACACTTAACTTAGCAAAGTCTGCTGCCTTAAACAGGGCCAGAAAGATACCACAAAGAAGAGCAATCATGTTCCAGGGATTTGCTGTGATAATCTGAAAGAGATGACAAATGTGAGTCCCCTCATCTGATTCCACATAGGTAGAGAGGAGTGAGAGATAGTGAGAATAGGACTGGGCTCTAAAGACCGAGGAGGTGCCTGGGTTCTGCTGGGAGTGCAGGAATGCAAAGGACCAACTCCTGTCCCACACAGTCTGCATTGATACTCATTTGGTTTTGGGCAAAGAAACACCAACACTGTAGATTTTGCTGCTGCTGGACCTTAGTTGTCGGGTAGCTATAATACCACATTTTATTCTAATAATGGATAAAAAATACACCAGGCTATTTTTATTATTCTTATTTCAGCCTAGGTTTCTTGTCAATTAATAAAAAAAGTCATTAGATCAGATTACCCAAGCAGACTTATTTAAACAAAAAGTTTAGCCCTGACCTGAAGCTACCCTTTGCTAGAACACAGGAGGACAGGTGCTTTTCTTAGTTACGTGTACCTCTAGCTGCAAGCAGCCCAAGGAAAAGCATCAGATGGTCCTGACCTCCACACAGAATGCATTACTGGCCATAAGGAAGAGAGAGCCTACGGTGAAATTTCACAAATATTCTCACTTTTCTCTGCATTTCTTCTTGAAGCGAGGTAACAAAGGTAAGTGCACGCACGCACAAACCACAAGCATGCGGAGTCAGACAGTGATTCAAGAAGGGACTAGTGGGTTACTCACGTCCTGAACTGTCTGTATGAAAGGATCTTTCCATTCAAACACCACAAAGAACAGCTGGTCACTCCTTGGTTTAGTTCTCTGGTCAATGTAGTTAACCACACTGGTCTGGGGAGAGGGAAAGAAAAGTGCAGGTTACTTTCTTCAGCAGTACAATGAGTTTTCTGTGCAACAGAAAAGGCCTGTAAGAAGATGAAAATACCACACTAAGGACTTCTACCACAGCCTTTCTCTTCTACCTAGAGCATTGGGCTGCCAAAATATGGCAAGGGCAGTTTCCTCCTTCTGTTCATATTATTTTTCTATTTCTAACTCAGTATCACACTACAATACCATTTCTACATTGCTTCTCAAGAGGGGACAATTTCCAAAATCCATTTACTTGCAGTAATACAACATTTGGAAAGTTCTCATGAATGCCCGTTAAATTAGTTTTATTTTCCAAAGAACCACATAATGATAGCAGGAGGATTCCTTCTATTTGAAAATGTGTTGTAGAATAAACTAGAACATTACAGCAAGTGCAGAATGAACATGGAAGGAAAGAAGCCCAGGTGTTAACAACCAAACCCATACTTCCAATACTGCCCATTAACTAGGTCACCACTTGAAACTAATGCTGCCCAGCAGAGAGCTGTAACACAATTCCAACAGGGAACTGGGTTAGGATACTAGACTGTGTAACAGCCACATGAAACCAGAGTCTCAAGAACCACAACCAGGAAAATACTGAGACATCAGGCCCTGGGGAAAATACTTGTATTGTACCACCTGCCCCCAACCTAGGGGGGGAACTACACAGGGTTTTTACACAGGCAGTAACCAACACAGTTTGAACTGACTCCTGCTCCTT